GTGTGTGTGTGTGTGTGTGTGTGTGTGTGTGTGTGTGTGTGTGTGTGTGTGTGTCTGTGTGCTGACTGATACGAGGGATAACAAGGGAAGAGAGAAAGCATAGCAGCATGTGCGTCTATGTTTGTCTTCTTGGCCATGCCATGTAGGGTGTGTATGTCTGATGAGGTGGCTGTGGTGAAAGGTGATAGGGCCGGACTGTGTAAATGATGTCTGATGGGGTCTCTTGAAAGTCTATTTAGCCACAGTAATGAAGTACGTCTGCCAGGGGAAGAATATGAGGGACAGTCTCAGAGGCTCAGACAGACAGCTAGGTCACCTCACTCAACCTTGTATGGAGAGAAGAAAGAGATGGACAGGATGATTCAGTTGTAATGGCTCTCGTTTTCTCCGTCTGTCTTGAAGTAGAGTTTCACTCTCCAGTCTCCGACTACATCTTTTTTTCATTCTTCTTTTTTTTCTTTAATAGATTGTTTTTTTTCTTTTGATACAGTCCTGTGGTTAACTGCATTTACTCAAGACAAAGCAAGTGAACCTTGAGTTTAGGGCTTTTTTAGCATCACATTTCTGAGTACAAACTGAAATATTTCTGAAGCATTGTAAAGTGGAAACATCTGGTGTTGACACTGAATATCATGTGCAGATGAATGCTTCTTTCAGATTTAAAAAAAAAACTTCTAAAACTACCTCAAATTTTCCAAGTTTTGGAACAAAGTGCTACCTAGTCCAACCTATCCATGATCCAAACAGCTTGTGCACTAAGATAATAGTGTCTCAACATTTGTTTTACCAAGGTTACAACATGGCAATTACACATAAAATGACATGGCGATATGTTGGTATTCACATGAGAAAAAAAAGGGTAAAAAGGCCTTTGATTGCTTCCTGTATCTATTTAAAGGGGATATTTTTACCCTACTCTTAAGTCAGGCAGTCAGAAGCTTCACAGCCTTCAGAAATATGAACTTATATATCAATGACTAATGTTCATTGAAACCTAAACTCGTTGCCTTTCACTCTATTTGTTTGGACAGAGTTATGCACTAACCACTTTAAAATGTTTTGTCAATTGGAAAAGAAAAACCTTGGATTCATAAAATGATATTGGTTTCTAGCGGACATGTTACAGCCAAAGGATCATAAATGACTAAGCGACATCCAGTCCTTGAGATTCCTTTACATTACATTCACAATGTTGTTAATGTAGCCTTATTTAAGGCTTTAGATATATTTTCTATACAATATATATATGATATTCTTTTCAAGATTCTTATTTAAAAGAGGGTGATTAAAGGGAGACGTGTTTCATGCTGTAGAAAGTAAGGACAAAGACTATAAGCAGGCCAATGATTTCCAGGAATCTCCTCGCAATGAGCAGCTCACATTCATTCTGTAATCAGAGGTATAATATCACTTTGAAACCTTATTTGAGTAACTGTACAGTATGAACTCCTTGTTTTTCCTCTACCCCTATGTTTTAGTCTCACACATAAACTATGCTGAATTGTTTTCGTATTAGATTTAAATCAGAACCCCAGGCCATTCATTCACACCAGCCACCACCAGATCAGTCACATGAGTGGGTCATACTGGATGTCCTGGCTTTTAAGAGAAGGCTATCTTGTGATAAACAGATCGTTTCTGTTTTTAGGCTCAAAACAACTTTGTCTCCCACATGACCCCAGGCTTCATTCACAGAAGTAGATCCAAACTCCACCAGTCTTCTTCTTCTGCTTCTAGTGCCTGTTATCTTGTGCCAGACCAAGTAAAGATCATACTGGAGTGAAGGGCTGGGAATGGGATGGCTTTAGTGTTTTTCAAGGAAATGGACAGAAGGCTGGAGTGACAGCCACCAGAAGGTTTTTTTTTGTTTGTTTTAAGTTATTGAGGTCATCGAATGAGGAAAGTAGAGCAAAACCATGGTGATTACATCTTGAAAGATTCTATTGGGACAGCTGGACGTCTTTTCATTAAAATTCATGGACAAGAAAAAAAAAGTGTGAGGATTTTAAATAACAAGCAGGTTCTTGCTTTAATTAGACAAATGGTTTAGTACTTTTGGCTCTGAATGCTTGTACGACATGTTTCCTCTGATTAACAAAGGAGCTTCTTTGGTCCAATTTTACATCCTTTTTTTAACAGTATTTGTATACATGCTAGCAACAAAGCTCTAAGAATGACATTGATGGTCTGTATTTCAAACAGTAAGACAATAACTTGCCAAAATTGGAAGTGTCCTTACAAGTTTTGATTGAATTTCCATATACTTTTGCAAAAGCATAATCATAATCAGTAGAGGATGAACACTATTGAGTTTCGAGACAATGATGTTTTCTTCTTGTTCCAGAAAGCAGAGAGTTTCTAGTTTTTACTGAGTCGTCTCAACAGCTTTTGGATTGATTTCCATGAGCTATGGTACACACATTCATGGTCCCTACAGTTGGGAGCCTAGTTTGGCAGGAGGAGGAAGCTTTCACTTATCCTGTGATCATTTGGAACACAGAGTCATGGGATTGCACAAAACCTTGTAATGAGGGGCGACAGTTGCTCAGTCAGTAGGGACTTGGATAAGGACCCGGAGAGTTACCAGGTCAAGTACACATATGGACCAAATGGACAGAAATTGTGCAGGTAGCTGGAGAGGTCCTAGTTCACTTCCTGACCACTACTGTGGTGCACTTGAGCAAGGCACCAAATTAATACATGTCTATAGGTTTCTGTTAGTGTCTGTGTTTCAGCCTACAGTATGTGTGCTGCATGGAGCAGCACAAAGGAGCAGAAACAAAATGATTCCCCCTCAAGGATTATAAAGTAAAGTAGCTCTATAATGATTGATAGGGTTCTACGGATGATAGCTGTGAATGACTCTGTTTTTATCAAACACAAACATATTGCCCTTTTATTTTGTTTTACTGCCATTTGATGGATTGTTATAAACTTTGGTAAATTGTAACCTGAAGGAGAACATTGGTCGAAATGTTGCAATTAATAAAACGTTTTGGGACATTCAAGCAAGTGTGTGGGGATATCCTCTTCTTCTCTTAAACTGTGGTAAAAACATTGATGTCAACCAGAAGATATATTATTTTGAAAGCAGGACCACCAACCGATCAAGTACTATGGTTAATAAACTATACAGACTAATGACATCCTCTAAGCCGTTTACCCTGAGAACATGCTTAACTAATAGATGAAGATGATTAGCAGCTACAATGCGAACTAAAAAACTATTTTCCTTCTGATTCTGTTCATTGACATTGTGTTCATGACGTGAACATGACAAAACACACGTTAGAGAACTTTAATGACACGTTTTATTTATCACCACTTGACCTGTGTTTGTGTGTGAGAGTGTGCATGTGTTAGTGTGCATAATGCAATACGTTTCACCTGACCTGGTATTGCCTGATTATGTCCATCATTATCTGTGTATACCTCTCCTGTATGATTGTAAAACCTTTGATATCTAGCTTCATTGTGATAGTCCTCTGTTCTGTACATCAACACACACTCCGCTTGTTAAAATACACAACAGGCCAAAAGAACTCAACTGGTGTCTTTGCTACACACAACAAGGCCTAGCGTCTGTGAACAGAAAAGAAGTAACAAATAAGAACATCAACTTAATCCTTGGTTGATGTGAAGGTGTGTGAGCTCCTTCTCATTTGAATCAATACGTCTTGATTTTGTAGCACTTGGTATAATTAGATTAAATGACATAATGAGGTGTAGAAACTAACCAATGGTTACACAGTTTTCAGAAAAAAGTAAACTGTATATATATATATATATTTATATATATATAGTTATATATAGATTTATATTCATTTATACGCTTTTAAAATAGCACAGTAAACACTTTTGCACATGATAAAAACCACTGAGTGTGTCTGATTGTTTATGTATAGGCCAGTGGCACACATCCTGTTAATTGGTCATTTCCCTTTCTTTGCAGTCAGCTCAGGAAGGAACTCGGAAAACTGTTAAATCACTAGTTTATAAATGAGAACATTCACATTTGTGATTCTTTATTGGTAAACTGAACATCAGGATTATTTAGGCGCCCTTTTCTACACAGTGTATAAGTCAAAATCTCCTTCCTGAAGTGGCTAAACTTGAAAGAGGACTGAACCCGTCTCCAAGACCGCACGTTTCTGTCCGTAACAGTAAGTAGGAATATGTTAGAGTCTGCACACTTTAACCACACAGAAAGAACAACTGAAACAAAAAAGAGAAGTTATATAAAGACAGTCAAGTAAAAAAAAAACAGAGTTACAGAATTTATAGTACTGCACATCATTTCTGCATGTCCCCATCTTTTGAATGTCATTTTACACCTGTACAACACCTCCTCTGTTTTTCTCTCTGCTCGTCTAATGCTGTTTCTCTGTTTTTCTGTTTATCACACGGTCCCCCTCCCCCCCTGAGTCTCTGTACAGTTGGCTTAGTGGTGACCATAGAAAGACTGTAGCTAAAGGGTTCTGTGTAACATTGGTTGAAGTTTGTACAGAAACATTTGTTTTTCTTCATGTAAACAGGCACACACAGATCTCTGGAGGTTCACTCCAAAATGTTCACAAGTCCCCAAAAGAAGACACCACTCTGAGTTCATCGGTCCCTCGTCTTCTTGTTTTTGTAATTCCTCTATTTCAGTTCTTTACTTCTGCTGATGACTTTATAATTTCCACATGTCATGTGTAGTGGCCCTGATCTCAGTCCTGCTGAGAAGAATAAGGCCTTGGATTGTTCCACAGATATCTAGAGGTTTACAGCTACTCAGTATTTATGTTTTCCCTCCTCCCTCGGCAACCACTGCCAAGGCTTTGTTACAGCTCGCCAACCCAGATAATAAAGCTTAACCAAGGTTGCTGTGTCCACGTTGTTGTTTGTTTCGTTTTATTTCGCTGTCACTAGCTTCAGTGTTGGTGGTCTAGCACAGAAATTCACGCTGTCTCTGACAGGTCCACGTGGAATGAGCTAGCAAATCCTTTTGCGGGCTGAAAAACAGAAAATACACTTGTTAAGACAAATGGCACCTTATCCCTAGAGACTTTTAATGTGACACAGTCAGCTCAAAATACCATCTTTGAATGGATACATGCCACAAAGCTCTCTCTGTGAAGTTATTTATATACCATTAAGGCTGCTCTGTGCAGTGTGATGCTAAAACTAAAAACATGTCCATCAGGGATGATAAATGTTAAAAAAAAATTGGTGGCTACATAATGCATGCATAGAAAATACACAGACCACTAATTGCTTCATTAATTATCCAAAATGGATCATTAAACATTTATAAAGCCTTTATCAAGGCAATCCTGGTGATCAGAGCATCGCTGTAGCCAGAAGTAGCATACAATGCTATTTTTAAAAGTAGAACATGATGCCTGTTGGTTAATAGAGCATCTGCCTCTGGGACTATTCTCAAAAAATGTTTTACTTCAGACTGATGAACAACACCTTTGTCATAAACGCTCGAGGTTTATTTATTGCAACATACTAGGAAAAGCAGGATAAATCACAAACCAGAAATGTAAAATGAAATATAAAAAGTTGTGGGTTTTCAACTGTGCGAATATGGAGTGCATTTATCCTAACCCTCCGAGGCAGACAAGATGAGCAGACGCTCGGGCTGCTATATTTGGAGCAAAGCAGGCTCTCGCACCTTAAGGCTAAATACAAATTATTTTTCACACAGACCTGATGTGCAAGAGGAAAATTGCTTGGCTCTGTTTGCCAAGACGCAAACAAGGAGAAAAAGAGGTTAGGTTATAGTGCTCATCGTTTACCTGAGAGACAGCTCACAGTCAGCATGCAGTATCATGGAGGATGGTGGTTAACATGGTGGTGACTTGACTGGAAATGACTTCTCTACTGAATGTGTATAGCGAATCAATTCTCTCCTCTTAGAACTAATAGAATATTCATGTGATGTGGAGCTTGGAAAGCAATCGAAAGCTGCGAGACGTGTCCTGCCCGCCTTTTCTAAAGAATCCCATTGTGCTTCTTAAAAAGTGCAAGTGGGGCACTCAAATTTATTCCAATAGATGTCAATATGTTTTATTTGCCATATAAACCCTTCCTTGTTAAAGAAGTTCCATTTCTTAAACAAAACGTGGGTGTGTTACTTGGCACATTAAGAATCTCGACCTCAGGGTTGACAGCTTATCTGGCCCAACTTTTGATCCACAAACAAGCAGACATATATACATTAGACTTGACTTGAATCCTTGTGAAGAAAATGCAGGATTGATTTTGTATATCACCTTTCAGGCTGTTAAGTAGAGAAGTCATTTTGCACGATCAAAACTCTGGACATGGAAAACAGATGGCCTTTACAACATGAACAAATCTTTCTTATATGTCCCTCTCTATGCACTGTGTCCTAACCTAAAAGAAGCATGTATTTGTAGGTTTATGAATATGGCAAGAAATAATGTGACATGTTGTTGTGTTGATGACCTTTACTTATATGAGCATCAGATTCAAAAGGCTAATGGGGGGGGGGGCGTTTTGTGGGGAAATTTAGAGGAAAAGGAAATAAAGAAAGAAAAAGGGGCCACAGCAGCTTGAAATGAGTCCAATTCAGATTCTGTTTATTAAAAATAAATTGCATGGTTACAAACATTGGAAGGGTTAGGATGGGGTTAGATTATAAATTTTTCAAAGTGGGTTTTGGAGAAGGAGTTAGCAATGATAGATTGCATTTTTTACATAAAAAACAAAAGTATAATAACAGAAAAGAAATCAGATCAACAAAACATAAAGCTTTATCTTTTGAGCTCCTTTAAAAAAAAAATGTTGATGAACAACATCAAAAGTCCAGATCAGAATCAAGAGGCAGATTCATGGTCCCCTCCTTTAGTATCTGTACTGGACCAGACCAAAGTCGTAGGGTCCCAGGGAACTTTCATACTGATACTCACAGAGAAAGGTGGGTTTGTACGGTAGAGTCCCCCTATCATACTCTTTCCTCTCTAGCGTGCTGGAGCTGTACTGCTGCTGTTGCTGATGGAGGTGATGGTGAAGACTGTGGTGTGACTGTGACCTTTGACCGTCCTTGCCAAAGGTGGAGAATGACCTATCGGCGGTCGAGACGGTGGACGAGGTCATGGTGAGTTGATCGGAGAGGTTGACAGAGGAGGGTACCTCAGTGTCGGGCAGCGTGGCGTCCATGCCGGGAACGTGAAGGTTGCTGCGGTAGTCTGGTCCCTGGCGCCCGTCAGACGGCACAAAGGATGGCATCCAACAGCGGTCGGAGTGGCCCAGGGCCTTGCACTCCTCCGTGCAGTTTGAGAAAAGGTCAGCACCTGCAGAGAACATACAGGTGGAGGAGAAGGGGAAGAGTGAAGTGGAAAGATGAAAATGTGGATGATATAAGAAAGGAAAAGTCAAAAGACAGGAGAAGGAGCATGAAAGGAAATGTAGTACAGATATATGGAGTGGAAGAGGGGGAGATGAGAAAAGGGACCAGGAGAGAGAACATAAGTTAGCAATCATTTGCCAATGTCGCAAGCAGAAAAAGTGCAGCGAAAGCTATTCATCAAAAAGACAAGGCCAACATTGATGAAGCGAATTGTTTGTTTTTCATCCTCACCTCATTCATTTCAAATGAAATGTGCAATCAAAGTGATGTGGTGTTGTGAAAACATTTCAACCCCTCTACACATCAACATCCTCACACTCACAATTGATTTCCAAACACCAAGAGACAAACTGTGGATCTATATTCCATCATCGCTACACAAAAAAAAAAAACACAATTATCTTAAGAAATGCCTCACAAATACCAACACAATATTCACTGGCTGCGTAATCAAACTACAACGTCAATCATCCCGACGCAAGTCCACAAAGACTGTAATTGGCACAAAAACAAAACATCAAAATAAAGAGATTAAATTAACATTTGAAATGATATGATAGAATAACACATTATCTCTCTCTCTCTCTCTCACACACACACACACACACACACACACACACACACACACACACACAACCAGCAGGAAGTAGCTACCAGTTATGTTCATTATACTCTCTTAGAAAGAATAAAGGGGAGAGTAGGGGGTGGCAGAGAGATTATAAAAGAGAAGAGAAAAGAACATGAGACTTGAACAAAGTCCTCATAATAATGAGACTCTATTTGCGTGCTGGAGTCTTAGTTCTCCTGCAGCTTTCAGATGAAGCTTCGGCAATGTGGGGAAGCGTTGAGGATGGCGGCATCAAAGCAAAAGATGAGCAGTTTAAGGCTAGAGGAGAAAAAAAAAAGGGATACATCAAGGAAGAGGGACAAAAAAAACAAAGATATGTAATCTGTAATTCCAATAAACTGAGATGGCTCCAGATCAAAGGGTCCATTTACACAAGTCTATTCATCTGATCCATCTCACTGATAATGACATCATTTATCTGTAACAAAAAGCAGACCAACACACAACAAACAATGTAGTATACGTCTACATATCAAAAGATACCAGGCTGTGTAACTGAGTATGAACAAAGGATTAATCCTCGAGGGATAAACCAGAATATTACTTTTCATAATCAAGATTGATCATACAAAAAAAGAAGAATGAAGATAACTTTATATTTATGGGCAAAATATAAGAAAGAAAAGACCTGTGTGTATTCAATTCTGGTCTTTGAAGGGGGAAAAATACTATTATAAATCCACCCCCAACACATTCAGACTAAATCTCCAAATATCAGCCTTTCACAGATTATGGATTATCTTCTCCGTAAATGAAAGAGGTAAGTACCGCGAAAGTGTCAAGAAAAAAATGAAGGAGCAGGCAGTCAAATATTTCACTTTTGCTTCCCTTGTTCCCCCTCAGATACAAGTCTGTGCATTTCAGACATTTGTAAATGATGACTTCAACATACTCGCCTAAAACCCAAAATGTTGGAAAAATACTTTGACAAATAAAATAAAACTATTCAACTGAAATCCATTATTTTCACAAGAGCATATGAATTGTCCCCATGACGACAAGCCATGAGTGTAATTTACATTCTAGAAGGGAAAAATCCCTGCCTATAATTTCTGTTGCTTTAGAGTGATTAACAAAAGCCTCTTCAAACTGTGTGACATGGCACATGTGTTTTTTTTTTACCCCCGCTGTGTTTTGAATCTTAAACTCCTTTCAACCTGCAGATGTATCAGAACAGACAATCAAATCAAGACGTATAACCAGCATGTTGTTTGGAAGAAAAAAAACATTCCAACCCAGATCAAATTCTGTGACAATTAAAAAAGATCCAAAAGAAACATTGAATAGAGAAGTATCTGTCAGTACAGTGAACTGCACACAGTCTCTTCTGTCCTCGCTATCAAGGTAACAAAAATTTATCTAAAAAGGATAAGTGGTTCAATACTGGAGGAGGAAAAAAAATATTTTTGCTTTTGTATTTTCTTCTCTGTCTTTCAGTTTGGTTATGTTACCATTATCATAATTTATAGAAATATTTGTTACCAGTTTTTAATGTATGTTTTCTTAATTATAGCCGGTAAGCTGCTGAAACAAAACAGCACCCTTATCAAGAGGCAGCCCAAACTGAAAGGAAAGAAAAGTCAGTGTGTAAGCGAGTGTGTGGTGGTCAGTTCTTTTTCTGTCATTTGAAAACCCCTCATGATATAATTCAAAATTAAAATACTTGTAAAGCTTTGACTTTAATTTAGTAAAATATGAGTTTTTGTGAGGACAAATGTCGTCCAATGGACATGTAAATGCAATACACAAGAATTACCACTGGCTCTATTTTTGTATGCCTGTGTGCATTGTGTGAATCTAATCATGTTGCTAATTCAGGTCTCACAGGGAGCGAGACAGGCAACAAAGACTGTGCAGTGCCCAGAGAGCCAGAGGAGACACAGGGCTTACAGACAAGGGAGTGCAAGGGCCAAACAGACGGGGGAGTCACAGATTTCACAGACGGAGACAGCAGGCAGGAGAAGCAGCAAGACTGCAGGAACCAAAAGGAGGGAGAGGGGAGACCTTTGCAATCACAGATGGAAATAAAAAATGACCAGAGGAGACAGTGGGAGACCCAGGCCCTCGCAGATGGAGATGGGAGAGGGGTGACACAGAGGTAGGCTGAGAGGGAGACACATTTGATTATAGAATGCCATGATGAAAACATAAGCTGTTTCATACTCTAACCCTGTATGGAAGCCATTTCCTATATCCTTATCTAACTATGGAGATGTGGGGCTGGAGCCTATCCCAGTTACGGAATGAAAGAAAATGCATGTTGAAAAGAAAAATCTAAATGAGCAATTATGCTTCAACTTTGATTTGAACAAAAGAGGATTAACAGCACAGTTGTGTTTTCCTATGGGATATAATGAGCCTACAACCTGCTTTTAAACTCTTCTGAGTAAAACTGCAGAAACACTTGGCTTGAAGGCAAATAGCTGCAGAATGTTTGACAGTGTCTTGAAAATTGCATGTATTTTATTTCACAAATAGATTTAGCATGTTTTTTCTTATAAAGAGACTGTTTTACTCTGTTTCATCTGCCTGGTCCAAAGATATAGCACCAGCAGTGCTTTTGCTGCCAAAGGGTTTGTTCCTTTTTATCACCACCTAGCACATGCGGGTTGTGCTTCAATGGAAGCTCTGTACTGAAGGGAACACACTATGATCTGGTGGAGAACAAAATCAGCAATCTGAAAATGCCCTGAAAGGCAGCTTCTGTGAGTGAGTGCAGCATTTAGTTGCATGGACCCTGTGATTCAACCGACACTAAATCTATATTTATAATTGTCTCTAAAGGAGCATATATTCATTGCATTTTTTTACTTGGATCTTCTGCATATATATGTGCACTTCTAAAACATAAGGGTGTTGACCTAATGCCTTAACGTCTATGTTTTTCCATGGACGAAGTGGGTGATTGCTAAAAGGCATACACTTCTAAATATACCAAAAATATGGAGTTAGATCAGTCTCAATATTCACAAATGTATTTCAATGCACACACAAATATATTTCATTCTATATAAATGTAAAACAAATCAACAAATAAAAAAATAAGATTCACAAATGTGTTTCTGATTCACACAAATATTTATAGTTTTGTATATATGTAATACAAATCCACAAATATATAAAGTGTTCAGGCTGCATTTACAAACTGTTTGTCATTTGTGAACCTATAAAATATAGTTGACTTTGCAGAAGCCTGGTCTGGTTGTAAACGTGATAACGATAGTAAACAATGGGTCCTTCAAAAGCCGCGGCCCCAACACATCGGCCGGAATATCACCAGTTTATTCAACACCAGTTAAACCAAAGACACATAGTCAATATACCCAACACGATAAACAACTTTCCATATAGTACGACAATCACAGAGACTATTTGTGCTGGTCAGATTAAAGATGACTTAGTCAGACAGCTAGTCTGCGCAGATGCAACGTTAAAGTGATCACATTAAATCATATCCTTGAATCTACGCTACTGTGATTGGCTGAATAGAAAGGAGACATCTGATTGGCTACAGACATTTCTCTGCTGAACAAAATGCATTTGTGAATCTAGGGGAGTCTCAAAAATCCCACACACAAATGCAGTGAGGTTCACAAATGACAAACAGTTTGTAAATGCAGACTGAACACTTTATATATTTGTGGATTTCTATTACATATATACAAAACTATAAATATTTGTGTGGGAATCAGAAATACATCTGTGAATCTTATTTTTTTATTTGTGTTTTATATTTATATAGAATGAAATATATTTGCGTGTGCATTGAAATACATTGGTGAATATTGAGACTGATCTAACTCCATATGGACAAATCAGCAGAAAGGCTGAAGCACAGGTGCAAAACTTAATATGCAACTATGCAGATGGAACATATGCATACTGGTCAGGATGCAGAGTTATTATCATGGTATTATGAGAAAGGCTCCATTTGTTCCCCATTCCTCATCCCTCAGAATATTACTAAACAAGCACCAGAGCACATTGTATTCTGGGTGTAATAGTCTGTAGCAGTCACTCACTTATCACTTATTTCTAAACTACACATGGATTTTTGCCTGGCAACTCACTTAAAAAAAAAAAAAAAACATCAACACATATGTTTGCAAATACACAGGTGCTTAAAATATTCTCTTAACACTGATATATGTAAATGTACGCAAGAAAACAGGCAGACAGGCCGTGACACCACATGACACCCAGTGGCTGTTGATTCCCGTGAAGCACCTTTTCCTCCTCCGGCAGGAAGCAAAATAACAACCAAAACAGTGACTGGCGATGACAGGCCCTGCCAGCAGTCTTCTCTCTCATTGTGA